TTTAGAGTTTTTTCTTTATAATATATAGATAGTATTAAATGACTCGTTAAATCTACCAAAAACTCAAATTATTTATTGACATTCACCCCTTTATATATAAATTATAATAATTTTGTTATCAAAATTTCCACTTAGGAGATTTTAAGAATGCTCTCAACTTACCACCTCTATTTTATTCTAAATTTAACCCTTAACTAACTGTGTATTTCTTTCAATAAGAAAAAATTAATTTTATTCTAAAAACATTACCCTTAGCTCGTGGATTTCAAGGTTGGTAGTAATGTTATTATGCCAGTTGCAAATAGATAGGAAGGTCTTTTCTTTAACAACTTTACTTGTGGAATGTATTTTATTTTGCCAGATCTAAAAGGGTAATTATGGGGAAAGAAAAAAGAAAATAAAAATAAAATAAAAAATAAAACAGTGGCATGCAAATATAGTAAAACAATAATACTTAATTATAAATATGACCATCACTTTTTTTATTTGAAAATATAGCAAAAAAAAAAGGAAGGTACAACCAAAACAAAAAAATGAAAAAGATAATTATATGCTTAAAATGAGCGATTTTTTGAAAATGAGAAAAACCTTATTGATATATCTAATATCAAACATGTTAAAGATCTATTTCATATTACGTATATCAGTTATATCAGTAATATATCTAATATAAAATATATTATATAATATATTCATATATTAGGTATACTTGGTATCACATATATAAGTTAAATATAAAAGTTAGGTATATAGAAATAATAGTGGCAGAATTGGAATAACAGAAAAACAAAAATTTCTAATTAAAATTTTTTTATCATATTTGTCTTCCGAAAAAAATATGGTAAATATTTTTGCCATCCATTAAAAATATCCAAGAAAGAAAAAGGACAACTTTGGGCCGGCCCAACAATTGTCGAGCTCGACCTCAATTTCTTTGGACTGGTTTATGGGTGATTTTGGTACTTGATATTTGTTTCTATTTGTTAATTTGATCCTTAAAATTTTAAGAAAAATATTCGCCTTTCAAGATTTAGTCTTGGTCATTGAAACATTTAATTTAAATAAAAATTGACAATTCAGTCCGGGTCATTTCTTGTTTCTTATTTTCACTTGGATCGATAAATCTAATTATTTGACAACTATTTATGTTTTCAATGAAACGTTCCATAAAACGTTCCCAAAATTGTAGAGAATTTTTAAAAACCAAAAAAAAATCAAGTATCTTGTTTCTTTTTTTCATTTTCAATTTATTTCCAAACATAAATAATTACCAAATATAATTATGTTTTTTAATTATTAAAAAATACAACAAGAAGTGAAAAAGTCACCAAATAGGCCTCATGATGGCACACTTAACTTTTTTTCCTATCATCTTTTTAACTTTTATCTTTCTCCTCTTACTATCAAATATACTACCACCCCCCCTTTCCCAATTTCTATATCGAGTAAAGTATAATATATTCATATTTGTCACCTTCAATTAACTATACATTGACTTTGATACATAATTAAATAAACTTTGCAATTTTCCAAAGCAATTGGCAGCGTAAGATTCCAAGTCCATATTAACAGGGAATCAAATGTTCTTAATCATGTATTTATTCATGACAATACATGGTATTGATATTTTAGAGTACTAATTATGATATTTCATGAAAGTACAGTGTATAATGAAACCAATGTTCTTTACAAGTGATTAATCTCATGAACGGGAACTACACAGACCTGACGAAGATTCACTAGTTCAATGAAGAGGCAAATCAAATTGTGGTGGCAAAAGGAGCGGTTAAGATTCTAACATACAAAGAGAGAATCCATCTCAGTGGCAAAGAGATCAACTGATTAAAGCATATATGTTCGTCAAATGTTCGAACCCCACATGTTAGATAAAAAATCTGTAATAATTTTAGGCCTGATTCTCCTGAACCTTCTGATTAGGTTAAAAAAGACAAAAAAGAACGTTCCATTGCCCGGCAAGATATCTCTCTGAGTCCCAGACTCTCAGCCATCCAGTTTTATTCAATCGAAACCATCAAGAAGATCAAGATCAGTTTAAATGGTTCAGATCGTACCACTTTACTTTCAAAACAAAAAAGTTCAAATGATATATCATAAGAACTCTCCCAGATAATCTGGACCGTCCAAACTGAATGGAACAGGAAACACTCTCCAGTCAAGATTTTCATTCAATTACACAAGAAACAGTGATAAAATAGATGTGTAGAGAGAGTGAAGTTTGTATGCCTGTTTAGTGCTCTATGAACCAGCCGTTAAGGGCGAAAGAATCGTCACAACTTTACCTGTAAACTTGGTTAGTAACTTAGTACAGAAATATGTATGAAAGTACAACATTCACAAGTTAGATCAAATAGATATGATTGCGCTAACTTTTTTAGTTGTGCGTTTATTCATCCAAATGCTTCTTAGACTTCGGAAAGTAAAGGGCTCAATCAGTAACGATGGTGAATAATTGCAGAACTAACCAAGGGAGAAAAGTAGGAAACTTGCATTTAAAGTATCAGAAAGTGCACAAAGACAGTGGACTATCTTCAAGAAACCAGTGAGGCTATAGAAGTGGTTTTGATCATTTCAACCCTCTCTTCAGCTACTTTGGAGTGCTCTTAATTCGATTTCAGTTAGTTATTTGGAGTTGTGACCGAGGCGGGTTTGGCCCCTGATCGGAGTTTCCATGTAAAGATGGAGAAGGTCATTCTTCACACCGTTCAATGATGGATGAATAAGAAGATTTTTACAGGTGTAGAGGGATCTTATCTTAGAAAGGGATTTGGAGTGTGGAACATTTCAACACCTCCATGTGAGCTTTTGTGACCAATTATCTTTTGTAATTTTCCTTTGTTCTTTATTGTTACCAATTGGAGCTCCTTCAGTAGGTTTGGAACCTCTTTTGATGGCCTAAGTCTGTGTTTTTTTGGTATGGCCCAGTTGTTCTGTAATTTGATCTTCCATGTCTCTTAATAAAAATAATTCTCATCAAAAAGGAAAAAGAAAATACAGGCAAAAGGTCTGCAATTCTAGCTCTATGGCCAATATTATTGCTTTTCTGTACTATCATTTCCTTTTAACCAAAGCAAAAGGCATGCCTACTTGTAAAATTATTTGGTCAACTTCCAAAAGTAAATGAATAAATAACTAACTGCCCAACAATTATCAGACTTATAAAGCAAGCTGTTAGCCCCACCCAAAATAAACTGGTGAACTTTTTAAGACCTCTTAAGTATCTGCATAAGCAGCATTTTTATTCACTGATTAAGTGTAAGCTACTCGTTCTTTCTTTTTCTTCTTTTTCTTTTGTACTTTTAGCCGGGGGCAAAGAATAACAAGGCTACAAGGGGGGAAAACCACAGAGAACACAGTTTCCATAAAGCAATATGAATCTTTTATGCATTTCCTCAAACTCTGTGTTAGAAGATCAAGGAAACAAAAAAGGGACAATGTCTTATTTCTATCCACCTTAATTTGTTTATATACACGTCTCCTATGAATTCTGGGCCTATAGAGGCCATCACATCACTAGTAACACACAGAAACTGAAGCAAAGAAGCTAATATGAAAAACTCATTAATCAAGGTTACAAACTTTCTCTCTTTGGTTGCATTTTACACCAATCAACTACAAAGATGATGAATAAAATATCTCTAAAACAGTGTATCAGCATATACAAGAAAAGAGTTTGTATGATCTGACTAACTCACCGAGCCTTCCTATGCAACTTAACTGGGAACCGAGACGGAGGTGAAGGGGACAGTTCAGTTGGTAGTTGGGGTGGATCCAACCCACCAGTGAGCATGCCCACAACCTCTTTCATGGAGGGCCTGCGAGCAGGCAATTTCTGCAAACAAAGCAGGGCAACCTTGATGCAAAGAAGGGCTTGTTCTCGATCCACCGACTGTGTCGACTGGTCAACCAAGTCGATGAGCTTTCCAGCTCTAGCGAGATGACGAGCCCAAGATAAGAGATTGGCGCGTTGGAATTCTGATAATGGTGAATTTGTCACCTGTAGGGGTCGTCTTCCTGCTATAAGAACTAACAACAAAACTCCATAGCTATAAACATCAGATTTCTCGGAAAGATCTCCACCACCGCCGTATTCAGGGGCAATGTAGCACATTGTTCCTCTCATACTTGGAGTACTACTAATGCCACCACTCTTGGTAATATCCCCACCGGTTGAATCATGGCTGTTCCCACGAGCTCGCCAGAGTTCACCGCTAAGCCCATCTAACCACCAATCAATGCTGCCTCGGCTGCCATGGCTCCTGCTTCTATTCCTCTTCTTTTTCTCTCTGTACATTTCGTCATCCACTGGCCAGCAGTCAGCCTCTTTCTCGTCACAACTACCTGCCCCTTTTTGGGGCTTCTTTTTCTTCCTTTTCTTTGCAAGCTCTTCACAGTACTCCTCCTTCCACCACTCCCTCACCGGCCTTCTCTTCTCTTTTTTCAGATTCTTGCTACTCTTTTCATCTTCCATAGACATCCACCATTCTAATCGTTTCTTGTTCTTCTTTTTCTCTGATTTCTTAACAGTTTTGCCACTTGACGAGGCTGCAATCCATTCGCTCTTCGGCCTCTCGCGCTTGATCTCCGACCCAATCCACTCCATGACATATTCCTTAACATTCCCACTAGTACCAACTCCATTTTCTTGCTTCCACCACCAATCTTTACCCGAGAGACTATTCTTAAACCCAGTACTACTTTTCTTCTCCACACTGTTTGGTTCTTTCCCATTCTCAACACTAGCTCCATCAAAAGCCCCTTCCGACGGGGATGCCATAGCTGCAGCTGCCAAAGCAGTCTCCGGCGAAGTCGTGGCCACCTCCACCGTCTCTGGTGAAGTCTCTGAAACGGGAATTCTAAGAAAGCTCTCAGGTGATTGATCAACACCCACGTTGAATTCCTCAAATCCAGTGGTCACACTCTCAGCTTCCTCAGCCAAAGATCCACAATCTTCAACCACGCAACCACGATTGCTTTCATGTTCCTCTTTTCTCTCCTTCTTCTCCTCCTCCACTCCAGCATTTACCTTCACCTCAACTTCAAATTGACTATACTCCAATTTCAATCGAGCAAGCCCGAAATCCCCAATTTTTGCCGAGAAGCAATGATCCAAAAGCACATTACTGGGCTTGATATCACCATGAATAACTGGCGGATCTAACCCATGAAGGTGCTCTAATCCCTTGGCAATATCAACCGCAACCGAAAACCGCTTCTTCCACTCCATCAGCTCAGGGCACTTCCTGTGCAATAAAGCGTCCTGCAAATTCCCATTATGCAAAAGTTCGTACACTAACAACATCCTACGCCGCTTCTGGTCAGAGCAAAACCCAAGCACACTAACGACGAAAGATGAGTCAATCTTGGATGCAAAGAACAGCTCGTTCTGAAATTCCCGTTCGCCTTGTAAAGACCCAGAGTCCATAAGTTTGACCGCAATTTCTTTATGGGTGTGAGGCAAAGTGCCGTAGTAAACAGACCCAAAGCCGCCTTGGCCGAGGCGGCGGGAGGGGGAGAATGATTCGGTGGCACGGCGGAGGAGGGAGTAGGAGAAGCGATGGGGCGGCTTGGAATCGGCAGGGGCAGTGCGTTTGCGGGTAAATTTGCGGTAAAGAATAACAAGGAAGAGGAACAGAGAGAAAGCGGCGGTGGAAGCGGCGACGATTGGGGGAAGAAGATGGCTGGAGAAAGCATGGTGGTGGGCGTGTGCTTGCACTGTAGAAGGAGAAGGAGAAGGAGATTGGGAAATGGAGCGGGATGGCATGGTGAGAAGAAATCCGACCAATTTCTTGCCAAATTCTCTCTGTGCAAGTAAAATTAACAGGATCGAGTTGTTTCCATGGTGAAACTGAATTGGAATTTGAGAAGAAGAAGAAGAAGAAGAACGAGAAGAACGAGAGAGGTGGGAGCGTTGGAGTTCTCTTTTCTTCTTCTTTTTTTTTTTAATTAATAATTTATTTTGGAAATTATTATTTATTATTATTTATGGGAAGTTGTTAGATTTTCCCTTTTTCATAATTACATGAAAACGTGAAAAGACCTTTAAAAAAATCCAAACCCACCTTGCATCGTTGTTTGATACCACTTTTTCGTGTACTCAAGGAAAAAAAAGAAACACTGATGACTTTTACATAACTCAACGGATTGAATCCATCTATAATTGAATAATACATCAACGAAAATTTTATAGTATCTATTGTTGTTTGATTTGATACATTATGATTAGTAATATTATTAGGCACGTCCATTCAATTGTAACTATAAAAATATAAAAATATATATTTTGTTGACTATGTTTAATGGATACTTTTAACTCACGATTCTATTTAGTATTTATGAATCATATAATAATTATTTGATTTTTTATCTCTTTCGATCATAACTCTATCTAAAAGAACTTATGGAGTTACCACAAAATCCGTGGAAATCATAATAAATGGGGAGGAAACGACAATGGTGGTTTGTTCATAWTCCGTGGAGAAGAAACAACATAGGACCTCCCGCTCCAATACCATCTTAACGATGAACAAACCACCACTCAACCCAAAAGCTTAAGTTGATGGATTGGGTAAATTTAATTCATTTATATGGATTCTAACATACACATCTCTTTTTTTTTTCAATGGAATTCAATAAAGAGGAGAATTCAAACCTACCATTATTTAGAAAAGTAAGTAATATTTTGACCAATTGAATTATGTTTTATTCACTTTTAACTCATCGTTACCGACTAAAAATTGAAATTTCCTTTTAGAAAAAAGAAAATCTGTAACATTGGATGGGATCATTTATGTAGGGGTAGTTGTGTTTTTTAGTTTTGTACTTTTCTCATTCAGTGATGAATATGACAAATTTTGGCAAACCCCACCTTCTCCTTTTGGACTCTTCATGTCCCTTCTTTTCTAGTGGATACTAATGTAATTCGACATGCATGGCAAGTTATTTATCCAATTTTCTAATTCTTCTAAGGTGAATCTTGTGTTGTAGAGCATAATGTGAACTATTGAATTTTTCTATTAAAAAAAAACTAGAAAATAAAGGATTCCTTATTTGCACCTGCTTACAAACTAACATAAATTTGTTTGCATCAAAAGTTTCTCAACTATAAAGAAATAGTTGAAAATGTTAAGCAAAAGAAATATAGATAAATATGACAGGTTACAGTGTAGGACAATAAAACTTTTCGAAAAGAAAAGAAAAAATCTACTCCCAACCATTTTTAAATTCATTATAAGAAAATATATAAATTATACTCTTTTGGAAGATTTTTAGAATAAACCCAAATAATCGAGAGCGTAGACTAAAGTCTTTGATAAATACAATAAGAAATTTTGTAGATTAAGATCAAAACGTACTTGTATTAATAAAAGTATATGTATGTATATATAAAATTGACAAAATTCAAATTTATTTATTATTTAATTTATAGGTTCTTTTTTATGAGGAATAAATTTCGCTTAAACTAATAGAATAATAATATAGATTGTGCTTTTTTCTAGAATTTTTGATCCATCCAATGTTGCCTTATCTTGGAAGATTTGATGAGGCACATGTAGTCATTAGACCTTGCCTCGCATGGATAATGTCATGATGCTTCTCATTCCTTTTCCCCCTTTTTTATTATATGTTTATTTAAATCAATGTATGAATAAAGATAATAGTTCAAAGAAAAAATCTAAAAATAAAAATTAAAAAAATCCAATTTTTTATTTATGGGTTACCCTAAATACTTATAATCAATGAATATCTTTTCCTTTTCCAATCATAAGTTCCAATAATCTCCCTCATATTTTCTCGGTGATATAAAATAATGTCCGACTCGAAGACCAGTAGTGCAATTATTAGCAGTAAAAAAATTTTGCTAGTTCTTTTTTCCTTTTACATGTATATTTTACTCTCGAGTAGCTAACATTTTTATATACCAATTTTTTGTCATGGTAGATTTTTTACCTATAAAATTTTCTACTTCAAATTTGTATATCTTTTATTATTTTTTCTTTTATACAAAAAATTGGGAGTATAAGAGTTTGGACTTCTAACTTCATAAATATATGTCAATTACGATTGAGCTTATGTTGATAATTTACATATCTTTTATAATTTTCAAACTTTCACTTCATCTAATTTTATTAATCACGATTTGAAACTAAACCATTCAAAATAAAAATATTCAAGCCACCAATTAAGGATTTTTTCACAAGATTCACTAACCCCAAAAAAGTTCCCTGCTAAAATATCCCATTTTTGGTTCTAGAAGCTTATAATCATTTCTAATATCATTATGAATTTTCCCCCTTAGTTTCCATGTCTCTCATTAGTGGAATTTTCCAATAAGAACAATAAAAATTATCAAGTGACAAATAATTTAGAAAAAAAAATAAATGAAGTGAACACCAACCAATTGAAGGGAAATTAAGTGGAAGCAAACTTGGAAACAGTCATAGAGATAAAGTTGAATATAAGAAGTGAATTAGGTAATTTTCTTTTGTTTGATTTTGTTCAATTCAAAGGCTAATTTGTCTAAAGAATTATTAGTTTCAAATGAGGGCCCCACTACTCCACTATTAAATGCATCATTTTCCTTTGGTAGGTTTGATTTATTCATCCCAAAACCTAGTAGCTCTCTATTAGTACCTTTTTGCACAATTTTGAATACAAAATTACATTAATGCCACTTCTAAATTATTGTTTTTTCAGGTATTATTTTGACAATAGATCAAGTGCATAAGATCAACAAGTCACAAAAAGTATGGTTCTTACCTACCCCTTTGAAAGGGTATATACAAAGCTCGCAATCTCATACTATTTCTCCTTTTTTATTCCTCTCGCCTCTTTCGAGGGTCATTATTTCATCTATCTACTTTCACATTTATATCCATTTTGTTTGTAATCTTTTGATAGTTTTATATGTCGATTTAGTCATAACTCAAGTACTTATATTGTACTGATATTCTAATAAATCGTACGTTTGAGTCACTTCTCCTACATTTATAATGTAATATAATATTCATTCAAATAAAATGGTTAAATATATGTTTTAGTTCCTAATGTTTTAGTGTTTTTTTCAAATTTTTTGAAAAACTTTCAATTTAGTTCCTTGCAATGTAGTGAAATAGCGAAAATTTAGAAGGAAAATGTCTTTTAAGAGAGGAAAGTTTCTAATTCCTCCTCTAAATTTCTAAGAGATATAAAGATTTCATGTTTTATTCACTTTTTCTCTCTTTTAAATTCTCACTAATTCAGAAAGTATCATGCATGTCATATAAGTTTACAATCATTCAATTTTAACTCCTACAAATGATGAAGAAATAAATTAAAAAATTATGTTAAAATTAGTTAAGAAATTGAACATAATGATGGACAGATTAGTAATTTAGGGAAGGTTTGGACCAACCGCCCATGCAATTGTATACCTCCAAATTCAATCCTCTCAATCCTTTTGGTCATCCAATTGAGGTTGAAATCATTTCAATAATTTTGACTAGGTATAGCTGTCACGTGCGAATATTTTCAATCTCACGTGCGCATCCCTCTCTATCTCTCTCCTCTTGAGTGTGAAAGGAGATATGTATTAGGGTATAAGACAAATTAGAGGTTGTACATCACAACACCATTCATTGGATAAAACAAACCTAAAGGCCCACTCCCTCTCTCTCCCTCTCTCTCTTCTAGATAACCCTCTCAACAATTTTCCTTTTCCAAATTTCACATCAAAATCTAACCATCTTTTGCAAAAAAAAATTCTCAACGGGAAAATCTTCTGCCGCATCCAATTCTTCTATCAAGAGACAGAGAGAGATAGACATGTTACTAAGAAAAATTTTCTGATAACGGGTGTACTATACTCCCTCCTATTTACACAATAAATAGAATTGATAGACCCGACGGCGTTATTAATACACAATAAATAGAACAAATGGACCCGACGACATTATTAATACAGTAGTGATGCAGCCAACAGTAAATGAAAGAGAGAGCAGGATATTCCTGGAGTACCAGAAATTTTCTCTTCTACTAAAGTATTGAGAGATTTGGGTCGCCGGGTGTAAATACCAAAATTGGTTCCAAAATCTAAAACTTCACATGTGGGTTTTGACGAGGCTATAAGATCGTAGTGCATAAAATATATGGCACATGTGGTGAACCAGTTTTTCCCCTGTTGCAACCCACATGCTGGCCATTTCCAAACTCTACCCAACAAAACCCAGCTGGATTTGTTGTTTCTCTCTCCCTCTCTCTCTCCAATCTCTCCCCACACATCTCAAACGAGAGAGAGAGAGGAAGCTCATCATTGACTAATGGGAAGAGTAAAATCCATACCTGTAAAACACCGACAAATGCTACACAACTTGACAATGGCAAAATAATATTATGCATTTAATATGAATATGAAAACATAATTAAGCATCAATCATCATCATGTCATAAGAACATAGCATAAGATTACCATCCAAAGAACTACAAATAGAGATTTTTTTATATGGTCTGGGGCATATTCTTCCTTTGGAGTCTCAATAGACAATCTAAGATAAGGGCAACATAAAGCATGTTACAAAAAAATAATATTGTACAGTATGCTATAAAACAATGCCTGCTAACAAACAAAAACAACATTCTATGCCTACTGATATTTAAGTGTTTGAATGTCTGTCATTATCACCAGATTTTAATCGAAGATACGATCAGATTTTAGCATGTGACTTCGACTATAACAACAGCTGTAGATTCCAACGGTTCAAAACAGTCATCTGTTCCAACAGAACAAAAATAAGAATTAAAAAACTATGGAATCTATCAAAACTAGCGAGTCAAACAAACAAGCCTTATATTGATACATTAACCAAGTAAAATCCACCTACTTGAAGCTGTCTAATCTCATCATAAAGCTCCTCAACAACATCGTATGGCTGGAAAAATGGAGA